CTGTTGAATTCAAATCTGTATCTGTTCAAACAGGTTTGTACGTATTCAATCCATCCAAATAGGTTTTTTACCGGTTCGAAAAAACCACCATTGCTCCTATATAAAGCTTGCTATTCTAGCAATTCTTGGGATCGAATTTTTCTCTCAGAATTTCGTCATTCATTTTTTGTTCCTCCAGTGCTCTTGCATCTATTTTGTATTTAATTCTAGAAAAAGAAAGAGAGAGTTACAACATAGTTTTTTGGTTCGCTAGACTTGATTTTGTAGTGCTGCTAATCAAGTGTCAGCCATTGCATCCTGGGAAGTAGACGCCGTTAGATTTCGAAGCACCGAAGTGAGGGCAAAATCTACTTTAAGGAGATTGTGTCCAACACAAGCCTTGACTTATATTTTCTGTAAGCTTTTAATTCGGAATTTAATTTATATGATTATTTTTGAATTATTTTATTTTATTGTTTAATTTATTTATACATTTAATTTACACAAACACACCTCTCGGAATAACACTTTGATGTCTATTGTTGATTGTAATTGTCAATAAGAGAGAAATAGAGAGAGAGATGAGAGAGAGAGAGAGAGATAAAAGAGTGTAAAACTCTTATTTCTCTTTATAATCTTTTTTCTACCACACGTTTCATGTCCTTTTCCTTGGTCCTAATGTGCCTCGAAGAATACTACTATTTTTTGTTGCTTGGTTCAGAGTGAGTGCTCTGTGTTGGATCTTTTTTTCCTTTTCTGATAAGCCTTTCATTTTCCTAGTTTTTTCAACAAAAGGGTGTGAAAATGCCTATGGATCAGCCATTTGGTCATCAGAGAGATGGGGATGTGAAGTGCGATGTCTTGGACCTAGAAACCGCTATAAAAGATAGAATTTTGGGCGGCGGAGGTAGGGCTATCTGCGGCGACGGCGGCGGCGGCAGCGCCACAACAAGAAACTCGATTTTAGCCACCATCATTGTTGCAAACCCCTCCACCCACCGACGTCGCCATCACTATCACTCGCGACTCTCCTCTGTGTGTATACACAAATCTGTCTTCTTCTCTTCTTCTCTCTTTCTCTCTGTGTGTTGTTTTTTTTGTTTTGTTCATCAATGGATTCTCTCTCCCCTCTCTCTCTCTCCCAAACCTCCCATGCTTCAGAAAGATAAGGCCTTGTTCTTCACTATCATCTCTTTTTCTCTCTCTTTGTTCCCCTTCCCTTTTCTCTCTTCCTCTCCCATTTCTATTTCAAACAGAAAAGAGAGAAAAAAAAAAGTCGTTTGGCACCTCGAGCCATTCGAGCTAGCTCATTTTTGAGCTATGTAGCAGAGTTGTTAGAAATAATATTAGAACACTTGTCCAAAATTCAAAATTTTGGTGGAGATTCAGTGAGTGTTTTTATATGGGCTATGTACATTATGAATCTAATCACACATTAATATTTTTGCATAAAATTTTACATAGTGAAAATTTTGAATTTGTAACATTTTGTGTAAATATATAATTGCCACTATTTTTTTACATAAAATTTCATAAATAAAAAAACAATTTAAGCATAATTGATGCCCTGTAGTTTTTTAAAGTTTCACAAAATAGTTTTTTTAATAGAAAAATAGACACACACAAAAAAATAAATAAATCATCATTTATAACCGTTTGTAGCAATGCCAACAAACTTATTTGTTATTAAGTCCAAATATGTGATGATAAAAATAGGGAGCAATTGTAAGAAAATAATATAAACTCAAAGTAATTGTAAAGATGTGGAAGTATATGATTTAATTGTACAATTTAGTACATGAATTGCTTTATTTTTATGATATTGTAATTATTTTGTATTGATACCATATTTCTGTAATTTTTTTCTAAAAATAATTTATGACATACTCATTTTTTATATGTATTTTGTACTATTTTTTTTTTAAAATATCATCTTTTAATTACATTATTTTATTTTTAATAAATTTAATATTTTTAAAATCATCTTTTTTATATTTTAAAAATAAGATGTATGTTCAATATGAAATTTGAAAAAAAAAAAACTTTATATATTCAATACGCAAACTTAAGTTCAAGTTACCGAAACAACTCGAAGTTGTTTTGGGAACTAATTATTTTAGTTGGTTTTTTTACTTAGTTGTAAAAAAAGTTTTTTAAAAAAAAATTAATGGACTCTTTTTTAGTAATTTTTTTGACTAAAATAACATATTGCCAAAGTTGCCTAATAAAAATAAAAAATACATTTATTCAAAAAATTCAATTGGAGAATCTAGAAAAAATAAAAATGTATTAATCCATAAAAAATAAAAATGTATTATTAAAAATACATTTTTAAAAAAAAGTTGGTTTAGGAATAAACTATTTTAATAATTTTTTAAAAATTTTATAAAAAATATGTAAAAACTATAGAGAAAATAAATCCCATTTTGAAAAATTTATCCATAAATCCCATTTGCAAGAATGTTGATCTATTTAGTCTTAAGATTTTTCTTTTAAATCAATTAGTCATTTTTGTTTTTGGGAAGAAAGACTTGTTTGATTTGGTGCTATTTGAGTTTACTTAATTGCTGTTTTGTGAATAGTTTTTCCAAAACTTTCAGTCATTTGCAAGATGGGAATGGAAATGCTATGTATGCTGAGATATTTTTGGGGGGGATTTGGGGGGTCCATTTCAGTAACGTTTGTTGAGATACTTTTTTGGAGATTTGGGGAGGTCATTTCGGTAACGTTTGATGGGTTGATGTTTAACGTGTTCAGTGTTAGATGTTGAAACTCCTTTTGTGGTGGTATGGTGTTCCGGCAAGGGAAGTGCAGAGTTTGTTTGGTTTGGCTTGGTTTGGTCGGGGATGAAATTATCGTATGTGGGTTGGTTTGTTGATATTTTATGTCTAATGTTTTCTGTGTTTTGTTGCGTTGGTTTGGTGTGTTGCTGGGTTCATTATTGTGACCCATTTTTTGTTGTTATGATGATTCGTTATTATGTTTTGTTGTGTTGTTAATTGTGTTTTGTTGGATTGGTCAAGTAGATGGTTCAATGTGGTTGTATTGTTTTGTTTATGTTGGTTTTTTTACGAAAATATTTTGATTCACTATTGACGTATCATATGACGCTAGTTCGTCCATTATGTACATATGTAGTGTGTCACACGTTTGTGGTGTGTTAAGTTTTTCTTTTCTATGTGCCAAATTGTTTTGGTCCTGATAATGTTGGTGTAATTATAATGGATGTGGTTAATTTTAATTCTTATTTGTATAGGTTTAACATGTCCATTCTTATTTATATGAGTGTTCTGGTAATGTTGGTGTAATTATAATAAGTGTGGTTAATTTCAATTCTTATTTCACATTTGGAGTTTTAATGTATTACATCGATTGGAGTGTTACGTTTAGGAAAAATATACAAAAAAGATTTATGTTTTTATTTTTTATTTTGTGTATTACATTGTAGTGTGTTACATTTGAGTGTTATATTTAGAAAAAGTACACTAAGGAGTTTTTGGAGTGTTACGTTGTTACGTTTGAAAAAAATATATTAAGGAGTTTTTTAGTATTACATTGGAGTATTACGTTATTGTTCGTAATGTGCCAGCAAGAGAAAAAATCTAAAACTTCTATAATGCGAATTGCCCAAATATGCAAATTTATATTTGGAGAAAATCACTTTTATCCATCAAAAATTAAATTCAAACGTGTAAGTGACTACATTTTTTATATAATTTCTACTTTAATGGAACCTTTAAATTTATAAGAAAAAAGAAAAAAATAAACAATTCATAAGATTACATTTTAAAATTTATTCAGTGTGTTGGGGTTCAGTTTTCTAAATTAAGTTTTCCAAAATTGATTTTTTTTTGTTTTTCGTGTTTTTTTATTTTTAGAGAATATTTTTTAAATTTTAAGTAATTTTTTTTACTTTTTTAGATGCACCTTACTTAGATGTATTTAAATAGTAAAATATTGGGCAAATTACATATACACCCCTCGAGGTTTGGTTAAATTACAGATACCCCCCTGAGGTTTCGGAAATTACATCTCGCCCCCTGAGGTTTGTATTTTCATAACAATTTACCCCCTGAGGTTTATATTTCATAACAAATTACCCCCTAATTTCTTATGCAAATATAGCATTCAGGGGGGAATTCGTAATTTCTCAAACCTCAGGGGTATCTGTAATTTAGCCAAACCTCGAGGGGTGTATATGTAATTTGCCCTAAAATATTTGTAAAAAATTATTTCAAAAAATTAATAAATATACCTAAATACAAAAAATGTATTGTATTTTTATATTTTTTGGTATTTAGTGTATTTTTTATAGATTTTTTCACAAATATTATATTTTTTAAGTATATTTATGTTAGGTGTGTTTAAATTTTTAAAAAAAATTGCTTAAAAAATATTTTAAAAATTCATTGAAAACATTAAAATATGAAAAATAAAAAAGTAGAATTTTTTAAAAATTAGAACCAAACAAGCTAATTGGTATTTTACCCTAAAATTTTTAACTTTTTTTATATGGTTTTTTTTTGACTTTTTTAATTTTGAAGTGTTCCCAAATCAAGTGTAAGGCTGCGTTTGGTTTAGTTTTAGAATTGTGATTATATTTTTAGAGTTGTGATTTGAGCGTAGAATTGTGAGTTGAGTTTTGACTAATTGAAAATTTGTTTGGTTATAAATTTTGAAAGAAATTTTAGAATTTAGAATTTAGAATTTTGAAAAGAGAGAATTGGGTTTACTCGGTCGTTCGCCCACACGGACATCCTCCCCAACATTCGGCTGATTAACTAGAACAGTGTAATTTTTTTTTTGCGATTATAACCCGTTATTTGAAAAAGAAAAAGAAAAAAAAAACTTACATTTGTGAATTATGTGATTGGTTATGAATTTAAAATGAATTTTTGAATTAAGTTTTAAATCATATATTTAATTATAAATTTGAAAAAGTGATTTGAAAAAGATTTCCTTTTGAAAAATTTCTCCAAAAAATTACGATGTTGCCGCGTGGACTCCAAGTACACAAGACAAGACGTATACAAAAGGCAATGGAGAATGCTTTCTTCTTCTTCTTCTTCCTGGTAGTTTCTGGGAAACTCAAAACGCAATCGATCCTTGCAAGTTGATCCTTTTTCAGGGGTGAATTGTCGATCGATCGCTGACCTCTTAAACCCTTGCATCAATTTAACTGGTAAGTCCATTCTTATTTGTTAAAATCTTGAAAAATTGAACGTGTTTGATAGATCAAATCTAGGGCTCATATGAGGTTTCTATTGATTGTTTCCAGAAAGATCGCTAGAGGTTAATTTGTAATCGAATCCACCATGTTTACTCGGATGTTCGGCAAACCTAAGCAAGAGGCCAATGCTCTTACTACCTTAGACAAGTTAAACGAGGTTAATTTCATTTATTTTGTGTTTCTTATTTGTTACAATAAGTTTCTAATTGACTGTTCAATGATTGATTATTTGGGGAACATGTCTTTATAGTTATTTATGTAGAGCTTTGAAATTCTTGGCTTAATTTAGAAATATTTACGCAATTCAAAATTGAAATTTGAATTGGAAATGTGAAATTTACAAGTTACTGGGTAATAAATGCACTCTTCAAATTGTATGATACTGCGAAACACATGGACTAGATATCATCATCTGTTACAGCATCACTGTTGTGGCTGAACAACTTCTTGTTGAATTGGAATTTTTAGTGTTTTGCTCAACAAAAGAATGACTGTGAAGCTGGGTTAAAAAAAAAAACTTTTGGAGCTAATAAATGAGACCAGTGTCATAATCTTTTTATGGCAACTGTGAATCTGTGCTGATCATTCAACTTTAACCTTCCTCTCAGTTTTGTATTTTTCTGAAAAGGTATCTATGAGCATATATTGTGGTGGAAACAAAATGATAGCTAATTATTCACTCTTCACGGATTTTAAATTTTTTTATTTTTCTTGTTTATGCTTAGACACCTTTGCCCTCCCTAGAATCTGTTTTAGTGAGAGCCTCATGTGCTGGTTCATCCTTTTTTTGTTTATGCTTAGATACATGATGCCAGGTGTGGAGGGAAGGGCGCATCAAGTGGGGTCCTGCCCCCTCAAAAGTTTGTAGAAATCCCTCTTTTTTACAAGGACTACCCTTCAAAATATTTTAAACCCCATTTAGTGGCCTCCCAAATTCAATTCAGCTGCCCTTGAAATCTTGGAAAGCCTATCCTCCAAAATTTAATGCATCATGTGATGGTCCTCCAATAATTCCATCTTGTCTCATGTTTAAAAGCTATGAGCAACCACCATTGTTATCAATTCATGAATCGAATCATGAATCGTAAGATTTACTTTATTTAATACATCTATATACACATGTAAATATCTATATAACTAAGTTGTTATATGTATATATCTATAAAATCACGTATGTCAATATAATTAATTGGTATATAATTTTTAATTTTTTATAGAGAGGAGAAAATATCATCATTTTATAAATCATGTGAACAAAACAAAAGCAAAATTGAATCTCAATGAATTGTAGTGAAGTGCACAATTCACTCAATTTTTATTCAACAACACAATTTGAATTGTCTTGGTTGAAACTCTTATCTAATTGTATGAGTCGAATCATGAATCGTACAATTCTAACGACAATGCTAACCACATGCTAATTTTGGACTATAGTTTTACTTGGTTGGCATGAAATCATATTAAATAGACATTTTTACTAAAAGTAGTAAAATTTTGCTAGAAAAAAATAGATTGGTCTTTTGTACGAGTTCCTATAATTTTTTAATTTAATCGCTTGTGAAGTGTTTTGGATACACGTTGAGTAATATTCAAATAATTATATGGGCTTATGAGAAGTGGGTAATATATGTCTAAACTGAGACTATCACTGGTGTTCTATAATTTTTAATTGGTCCAGTTTGCCTATAGTAAATAATGTTTTAATAATTACTTAAACAGTTTAACCCCTGCCCAAGCCACCTTTCCCAACTCACTTTCAAGGCTACCTACTTTGGGACTTGTGTAATATATAATCCTGGCGGGTAAGACAGGAGATGGCCCTGCCCCAGCCACTGCTCAAGGGTTACCTCCACTCCCCAACTGAGCAAAATTGAGCAAATTTGCAGCTTGACCCTTTTCAACGAATCTTTGCACTTTTGGATTCCATTCTCTCTGTCCCAATTATTGCCTGAGCGGAATCACCAAAACCAATAACACCCCCCCCTGGTAGTTTCTGGAAAACTCAAAACGAAAAAAAAAAAACACCACACACATTAGAGTCCCGGGTCTGCCCCTGCATGATTCTGTGATGTCTATCATTGTTGCTTTTGTATCAATTCCCATTTTGGTTTAATCTGAGCCTTTTATTTTTTATGTTGTATAGACACTTGAGATGCTTGAAAAAAAGGAGAAAGTACTCCAGAAGAAGGCTTCTGCAGAAGTTGGGAAGGCCAAAGAATTCACCAGATCAAAGAATAAGAGGGGTATGGTTTTCAACTGCTTGCATTTTCTTCTTCAGAGGACCAATTCATGGTGTTTACACATTTGTTCTTCAAGTTGATGTAGTATGTCGGGCTGCATGTGTGGTGGTTCCATTTTAATTGTAAATACTATTGCAGTTGGTTTTGCATAATTTTTATTTTTCCCAAATTAACTTAATTTTGTGTATAGGCTTTATTGCACTTGTTTGCCTTGTGTTTATGTAACAAATTACCGCTGTGTTCTATTGTAGACCATATTGTTGTGATAATTTCAATGTAGTAAAAATGAAGGAATGATGATAACTTTTCTTACATATATATAGAATAGGTATGTATTTAATTAAAATTGTACATTTAAAAGTTAAATTTTAGGAAAACTTGTCCTTGTGTTTCATTCATCATTCCAAACTTTTACTTCAGTTATTTTTTCACTTTTGTGATTAAGGAGCTTGTTTTTTTCACAAATAATGATGGGGAGGGAACCTGAAATTGAGCCAAAAGGTTCCAGTTTTGCTTTTAGCCATTGCTTTTATTGTTTTTATTCAATGCTTTCTGCTGGCATTACTGTTTTGATTTGGCAGATAGGGGAATTCACATACATTGATTTTCCGGCTCTCACCTTTCCAAATGTTTTGTTGTTGATATTCTCTTGATATGTTAAAAGTCGGGCACTTTTAAGAAGGTGCATGTACTACTTCTTGGTTTGAATCTGAAACCTCATTGTTATCGCACAGCGGCTATACAATGTTTGAAGAGGAAGAGGCTATATGAACAACAAATTGAGCAGCTTGGAAATTTCCAATTACGCGTCCACGACCAGGTTAGCTTGAGTTCTTATATTCTCTGACGGTGCACCTAGTGTTCAAGGATAGTTGAATTTCCATTCATAGGATGATTTGCCAATTTATATGCCATGCATGGATGTTTCAGATGATACTGTTAGAAGGTGCAAAAGCTACAACAGAGACTGTGGATGCATTGAGAAGTGGAGCAGCCGCAATGAAGGCCATGCAGAAAGCAACGTAAGTAGCTTTTCTTCTAGAATATTCTAAACTTCACCTCTGGGGTTTACTTTCAATTTGATCTGTTTATTTATGCTGTACTTGTCCATGAGGCAACAAAGTTCCTGAATATAATAGTAAATCTGGCCTTTTAGCTTGTTTTAGTACTTATGCTTTACTTACACAATCATTTGGAACTGTCATCTTATAATACACAGGAATATTGATGATGTGGACAAGACAATGGACGAAGTAAATGAGCAGACTGAAAACATGAAACAGATACAGGAAGCATTGGCTACACCCATTGGTGCAGCATCTGATTTTGATGAGGTTTTCCTTCTATTCATAATTGCTTGGTTCCTTTAAATCTCCAACCATGTTACGTGGACTCTTCAAGATAAATCAAATACCCGTGTTGGACACCCAACACTTGGACAAGGGGTGGGATATGTGTCCAATACTTTCCATTGGACACTTCTTATATATTTGTATTTAGCACTATAATTGCCATATAATGAGTAAAATTCTTTTTGACAGTATGCTACATATACTTTCATTTTATTTCACATAATGGATTAAAATATAAAAATATGACCTTTTATTGCCGATCTGCATATCCTTAAATTTGAAGTTTGATGGGTCTGACCTTCCAGATACAGACCCACACCCGTTACTTGTACCCAAGCCCATGTAACATAGATCTCAAATTGGATGTATGGAAGAAATTTTACTCTGGTTCTCCATGTTCTTAATAACTAATGCACAGTAGTGATGTAAATCTGCTAAACACATTTATTATCATTGCAGGATGAATTGGAAGCAGAGCTTGAAGAACTGGAAGGTGCTGAGTTGGAGGACCAGCTTTTGCAACCTGCAACTATGGCCACTGCAGGCAAGCAATCATTGCAACCAATTCAAGGATCAGCAGCAGGCAAGCAACCGGCTCGTGCTGCTCCACAGAAGCGCACAGCTGAGGAAGATGAACTCGAGGCATTGCAGGCTGAAATGGCACTTTGAACAGGTCTTTTTTTTTTTTTTTGGTTTTTATTAGTATTTTGATCAATCATTGTGCCTATGTGGCAATCCTAGCTTTATGAAGTTGCCGTAGCTCTAAAGCTTATAATCCATAACTTGACTGATCGGTGAGCTGTAATACCCCGAGTCTCTGGAATCTCTCCAGCTAGAAGAGATGTAGACTCCAATTATATTCAGTGTATATTATGAGTCCGTTAGCTTAAAACATCATCTAATGAAAGCACGCTTATGCAGCTCTGATAAAAATCGTTGTATTTGAAACACTGAAATTATTAGATACCTTTGGGGGCATTTTAGTGAAAAGAGATTATGTAGCAAGTTTTGATAGTTATTTGTTTTTTTTTTTAATCTTCACTGTTATTTTTACTGCTTTAATTTTTCAATTTCAAAATTTTAAATTAAATAACCAAAAAAAAAAAAGGGCCATATTGGGGTCATACATCATGGTGCAAGGTATCAATTTATCAAAATTCACCTGCACATTGAGGTGTAAGATGTTTTGTTTGTTTTGTCTCACATGAGGCAGGTTAGTTTAACTTTCAATCCTTCTAGATGAATCATGAGTCAATTTTTTTTTAAGAAAATGTTTTGGTAGCTCAAATTTCAGTTTGTCTAAATCACTCAAATTTATGCATGTCAATTGATTGTCCGGACAGCCACTCGGACGATCAGTGCAACACTTTTCTACCGCAGTTTTTACCTTGGTCAACTGTAATTGTCACCTCGTTGCCAGATGATCGGCTAGACGATCAGCAAGTTAAAACTCGGGCCATTCAGGCAAACTCAAATTCGAGCTATGTGGCATTATTGTTTCTTTCATAAACATATCTTCTTCCTCTTCTTCTTTTTTATTTGTATTTTTTGTTTTGGTTTGACATTTCTGTAGTCTTTCAAAAATAAAGTTCACAAATGAGACAAATATGAGAAAATAAAAAGATTATGATTATCAGATCGATCTAATTTTTTTCATATATGATATATATAAAGAGCATTACAATATGAATAGTTCAAATAATTAAAACAGAACCTATAATAAATTTTACAAACACTTCAAATTTTCTCAAATTAAAATATGAATAATGTTAGGGATTTAAGACTGTTTGGTTGTATTCTCAAAATATATTTCCACCCGTACATTTGCGCTTCACGTTTGGATACAATTTTCAAATCGCAATTGCACCATACAATTCAAAATATATGTCCACTTCCCGTTTGGCAGATTTCTCCCTTCGTTTCTCCACTGTAAAAAGCTTCCAACGGTGCATACTTTGTATCTTCGATATTCTCCATTTCTGAAAAGCTTCACGTGAAAGAAATTTAAAGCTGAACTTCTTAAAAGCTTCACCTGGAAAGAAATTTGAAGTTGAATTTTGCGAGTCGTCTACCTCTCTTTCAGCGATCACAACGCAAGATTCTTCACGAGTCGTGTTGCTCTCTGTGAACTAAGACCTTCAAATCTAAATTATGTCTGTGAACCTCCTCTCCACCCATAAAATCACGTCTACCAGTTCCCACAAATCAAGTAAGTTGCAGTTTGTGCATTGTGGAAGATTCACTCTCTGAGCAACGAAATGACAAGACCGAGGTCAACTACATCACAAATTTCTTTCAAATTTTAAATTACAACTCACTGATTTTCTCAAACATTCCCAAATTCATTCTCAATTTATGTGTGTCAGGCTAAATTTGTGAGGCGTATTCTCAAATTAGACGCCTATCGAAGAAGCGCACATCCACCCACTGTACCCACTCCGTCACCGATGACAACTATTCCACTTCTACTGCTTTGGTACGTATATCCTTGAATCGATCTGCTAGTCATATATCCTTCAATCTTTCAATCGATCTGCTAAGTAATAGCTGAGAAGCAGAAATGGTTCTTATCTATCAAACTGGTCAACCGCCAGGACAACTGGCTGGTCGTCACACCGGTCTTTTGGCTGGTACCAACTCCCTCTCCTCTGGGTCGACCGCCATTACCCCCTTTGATGCTTCTCTTCTTCTTCTGCTCTCCTTCTGTTTATTGTCTACTATATACATTTCTTTCACAAACTTTTTGCATGCAATATTTTGCTTTTTCTTGTTATATCTATTTTTTCCAACACTGTTAACAACTTCAATTGATAAATTTTTTTTTCTAGAAATATTCTGCTTTTTCTTGTTGTATCTGTTTTTCCCAACACTGTTAACAACTTCAATTGATGAACTTTTTTTCCCATCGAAACATAGTTGGAGATGATTCTTGCATTTTTATTTTTTAATATCAAATTTAGATTTGTTTAGATATAAATTGTGTGTTGTTAGATGGATGACAACATTTCTGATGACAATCAGGACACATGAATGTTGAGTTCCAAAATTGAAATGAAACTAATAATCATGTTGAGAGACGAGGTACAAAAAAATCAAACAACAAGTTGTAGTACTGTGTGGACAGCTAAGCATTGGAATCATTTTGCAACTGAGTTGCAAAATTTGTATGGGTTTTGATACACACCAAAATAAGTGAGACAAAAATATCAGCGACTGAAAGTTGATTATCAAACCTTCAAGCGATTGCAGGTACAGACCGGTCTGGGATGGGACCCCATTGTAGGAACGGTTGTTGCACCAAGTGTTTTTAAAGGCGAAAGCACAAGGCGAGGCGTTTTACCCTTGTTGAGGCGAGGCTTAAGCCTTTTGAATTTTGAATTTTTTATTTTTATAAAATACAAAATTAATTAAATATAGCATAAAAAGAGTAAAAAAAATAAGAATTAACAAATAAAATTCTTAAAAGCTATTCTAAGCATAAAACCAAAATTAATTAATAATTTCAAGTATTGTAAGAGCTTTCTAAGTCATTCACATTAATACTATAATAAAAAAATAACTTAAGTGATGGTAAAAAATAACTTAAATTCCAATTGTTCAATAAACAAAATACCTTAAACTCTAATACTCTATAAACAAAGCAATAAATAAATAATAGGTCACTTTATGTCATCCTCATTAATATTGTCATCATCTTCGTCCGCTATATCTATAATGGGATAGGTTCCATCATTTATTCCACCAACTTCTTCCAACTCCATATCGTCATCCACAGGGTGCATCTTGTTGCCTTTTCTTTTCCTATATCATTTCCTATACAAGAAATAGGATTTCAAATTAATTAAATAGGCACATATCATAATATACATGCAACTAGTCCATAATTGTTTAACAACTTACTTGAACCTTCACCAACTTTTCTTTTCTTTGCATTCGAAGATGAGTCAACATTAATCGTAGTCGTAGTTGATCGATTCTCCACACTTTTATCATAGTTAGTGATAGGCACAGTCCTAATTGCTTCAGCATCGAACAATTCTTTTTCATCAAGCCAGGAAGCATCAAGGGGGAGGACATGATCTTCCTTTTCAGCAATCCATTCATCATTCAAATCAATTTCATCAATTAGTATTGGATCGATGTTTTGTCTTCTTCTCATACTCCTCTCTCTTAGTTTAGTGTTGTACTTCACATGGACCAAAACATTCAAACGTTTGTGCTCAAGCTTATTCCTCTTTTTTGTATGAATCTAATATAATAATATAAGATACGAAATATAACAAGTTATAAACATGAATATTTTATTTTATGTATAAAAATGTTTAGGAAAGAAAGATATATTACCGACTCAAAGGTGCTCCAATTCCTCTCACATCCTGAAGCACTACAAGTTAGACTAAGTATTCGAATAGCAAATTTTGTTAACTCTGGTGTTTTGCTCCCAAAATGAATCCACCAATTAGCTACATAATTTGAAAAATGTACAAATGATTTCAATCTCGTATTTAAATTTTAAAGAATATAATTGGAAAATTATTTTCATAATAGTTTCTTACCAGGAGAGCGTATTGCTCTGGAATCAATTGCAACACGACTTCCGAATTCCCCTCTTGCTTGGTCATAATAATCCAATTGGATATCAGCCTTGAGACGCTCATCATAACACAACATTCTATCCATGCACTGATATAATCCTTGCTTCACCTCCTCAACATTGGAGAAGGAATCTCGATAGCGCAACTGAGGGTTTAGATAATAACCAGCAACATATATAGGTCTATGAAGTTGTGGTGTCCACCTTGCATCTATCGTATTCCAAATTGGTCTGTACTTCCTAACATTTCCTCCACAATTGAAAGCAATCTTTTCTTTAGCCAAATCCATTAACTCATAAATGTAACCCATAGCAAGCCTCTCCTCTGAATCAACTTCTCGCAAAACACTAACCAAAGGTATTGTGCTTTTGATACAAAAAGCAACATTAGGCCAAAATTTTGGATCAAACAACACAGTTGCACGAGCCTTTACCCCTTCAACCTTTCTTGCCCAACTACTAGAAGCCCACTTTTCTGAAGAAAACATAGCTTGGAGTGGTTGCTTTTGTTTGTAAAGACTTTGGAGAGTAAGATAAGCAGTGGCAAACCGTGTTACTGCTGGACGGAGTAGTTCACTGTTCTTTGTAAATGATCTCATCATTGAAAGAACCCAACAATGTCCATATATAAACTTGACCACTTGCCTAGATAACGAGAGAGTTTGGTCACAGACTTTCAATTTTCCAATGTCCTCCAACATTAAATCAATACAATGCGCAGCACATGGAGTCCAATACAACTTCTTCCTCTTCTCCATAAGTCTCGACCCGGCATTGACATAGTTTGAAGCATTATCAGTAATAACTTGAACAACATTATCTTCCCCAATTTCATCTACGACACTATCAAGATAGTTAAACATCAACTCCCCATTTTTTATAGTATCAGATGCATCAATTGATTTTAAAAACCAAGTTCCAGCAGGGCTATTCACAAGAAAATTAATAAGAACTCTACTTTTCCCATCTGTCCAGCCATCAGACATAATTGAGCATCCATATTGTTTCCATGCTTTCTTATGTTCCTCCATCATGACATTTATATCCTCTACTTCTACTTTAAGAATCCAAATCCTCAATTCATGCATAGAAGGGGGTTTGAAACCAGGTCCATAATTTGCAATTCCATCAACTGCAGCTACCCAATACGGATCATTCACTAAATTAAATGGAAGAGCTTTACAATATATAAAACGCCCAATCTTTCGACACACATCTTTTCTTTCTTCTTGTTTCCATTTGGAGTTCAGTGTAGATTGTCGTGCTTGAGAACTAGCAAATTTATCCATTGGACCCCTCGGTTTCGGTGCTTGTGTCATACCAGTATCGCCTTCAATAGATTGAGAAGCACCACTCTCGCCCTTTGCTCCAGCACCCATCCCAATTTCATATAGCATCTCATTACGGGCACTTTTTTGCTCAAA